CGGTTCCTTAAGTTGCATTTTCTGATCCGGGTGGCTGTGGGCAGCCCATGGGGAGCTTGCGGCATGGCCAAGGGGTCCCAGGGTTGCCTCTGCATCGTAGCGTGATGTCTGAGTGCGTCTTCAGGTAGTTTGTGCCGCCCTTGGGCCGTCCCCATCCACTGCTGCTTCATCTGCAAAGGCAGTAGCCAGCCTGGTATGAACCTGCCTTGAAACCCTAGCGAAAGCCAAGTAATGCTGCCTTAGTCTCTGCAGGCTTTTTGAGCTGAACCCCCAGCGGGTAAGGTTTGTCATCGGCTTTTAAGGTGTGTGGAGTTTAAAAAACCGAGCTCAAGCCAAGAATTCAGTGGCTTCTGTCTTTACATTGCTTAAAAAATATTTAACATCTTAAAGGAACATAAAATGCGTGTTTAAAGCTTTATTTTGAAAAATGCAAATGTGGTGTGTCTCACAGCTGTTAAATGTTTTTTCACAAGAGCAGTTACCTAGGGTTGACCTAATCAGTGTTTTTGAAACCCATAGAAACACAGCTGGAAGACTCAGATAAGGGCAGGGCCCATCGAGCTAGTTAATCCTGAACATTTGTTCCTGTCTAAACTGGAATGTGGAGTAGTAAAGGCAAAAATGATGCTTTTCTGTGTTGTAGTTCTGCATCACCCTTCACCAGACCCTTCCAGTGCCTGAGTGTGTTGGTGTGTCTCTTGGAGCAAGCAATTCCTCAGCTTGGGGAAACCTTGTATTGTGTAGGGGAGGAACCTGAGGTGACCAAAAAAATGAGCAAATGGATCTGTGCTCTGGGGGTAGGCAGCTGGAGTGATGAGCAGGCAGAGCTCAGCAGTGCCCCTGCCTGGAGGGGCTCTGGAGTCTTGCTGGAGCTGGGAAAATGGTGGTGGCTCTAGGAAGAGAGAGTAACCTGCATCATGTAATATCATGTTTGCTGCGTTGCAGGCTTGCTTTGATGGTTTCTGTGTCAGTGTCTTTCTGGAAGAGCAAGGTGTGAAGTAGAGACTCCTGGAACCACTTGTCCTGATGGGAGCAGCATCCTTGTGTAGATGCTATAAGGCTGCTCCAAGAAGCAGAGGAAACAGGCTTGGCTGTGCCGTGAGTTGGGTGGCAGAAAAGCAGGCTTGCTCTGGAGGCAGGAACATCCCAGATGACAGTATGGTTGTGTACAGATCTAGCCTGCCCATAAACATGAAGAATTTTAACCAGGTAAAGTTGCTGTGATGGGAGTGCATTGCCTTGCTCTGTATGGCCATCTTGCGATGTGGACCATGAGCCACGGGAGCTGCAGCATCCACCAGTGTCTCTGTGACTGCAGGGAACCAATGTGCTGGGAGCTGCTGGGGAAGGGCTCAGAGCCATAAGCCTGCACCCACCTTGCCTGCAAATGTGGTTAGGAGAGAGTGACCCACTGGTACGTAACTACTGAGATTCAGTGCTCAAGCCAAGGATTGAGTGGCTTCTGCCTTTACATTGCTAAAAAATGTGTAGTATCTTAAGGGACTACAAAGTGTGTAAGTGTTTAGAGCTTTATTCTGAAAAACACAAGGTATTTTTCAAATATTTTGCGGAAATTAACAGTTCTGCTGGTCATTATTTGTGGGGAGAATAAGAGGAACTGAGAGCTGCCCCAAAGAGGGATTGCTCCAATGTGCCACCAACAAACCCCAGATTTATCCCTGAGATTGATGCAAAATGCTGGATGCTCTGTTTTTGTAGGCCTAGCCCAGAAACTGGCTGACAGTGGAATTCCTCAGTCACTTCAGGTGCCTATGTTGAAATGCTGGCTTTAATGTCATCAGGAGCTTCCCAACTGTTGCTGTAAAAGGGGAATAGAGGGGTAAAGTCAAAATGGTTGAGAAATAAGTGTGTCTGTCTCTAAAGTCAGTCAATGCTGTCTGAAAAAAATAGTGCCTCTTTTGGTAGGGTTTCTTGCAGAGGTGATATTTTCCTCTCTGGAAAGGAAAAAACCAAATCAAACACAAGTTCCTTGATGTTTTTTTTTTTTCTTAAGACTTAACTAGCACACAGGGCTGAGCTGCTCAAACTGATGTTCCCTGCACACATTATGGAAAACAGGGAATAGGATGTATATATTCTGGGAAAGGCCATCAAGTGGGAAGAATATGAAGGTAGTCTGTTATTCTGAAAGATACCAAAGCATTAATACCTGCTCATGTGAATTGTGTAAGGAACATTACCAGTAACTTTAATGACTTGGATACCTGCATGTGCCCTGAACATCTACGTGTCTCCAGCAGTCACATGCACATCACTTTCTGGATGTTACTTGTTTTCTAGGAAAATATATTCTTGAATTACCTGCATAATACTACTGTCTCTGTTATAAGTTGTCCACGGCAGTGAAGGAAAGAATCAGAGTAATTTATTTTAATATTTGAAAATGACTTTATTTAGTATTGAGTCAAACACTATTGTGTTGCTGTCAGCTGTTTTCATCAGTTGTGAACTATGGACTAAATAGTGATCTTGGCAAACATATTATTCTTGGAGATCTATTATGGCGCATTTCATCCACAAAGAGGGATTTCAAAGTTCACATCTTGTGCTTGGTCTTATCTTAATGATAGCGAACTCACTTATGTGGCTTTATAGGAAATGCTGACATCCACTAATGTGGGCACAGGGCCTTTATCTCAAACAGTGCAAGCTCAGCCTTCGAGCCTGTCTCCTGAGCAAGCTCTGCAGAACACTGCTTAGAGGGCTGCCAGGGGCAGCAAACCTGCCCTGAGCAGCTGGAAGTGACTTCAGGTTCTCAGTGGGACCCCTCTGTGCTTCCAGGGCTTCCTAGGTTAATCTCCAGGTTATGGGAATGCCTGCTAACATGGACTACTCTGTTGGGTCGTGTATTCAGCCCTGCTTAAGTCTGAGCTATGGGAAGTGTGTCCCTTTTCAGGACTTGTCATCCACCCCTGGCAGGGCATCTTGTCTTCCATACACTTGACTTGCCTTCAAGGTAACATTCCTGAGTGTAAGTTGAAATGGGATTCATCTTCTGTGCGTGGTAGGGTAGTCTACTGCCACCTTGAATGATGTGCGGTGAGCTTCGTCTTGTCAGTCCTCTTTGATTTTTCCTTGGGAGTGCATGTGAATCTTTGCAAGCCCTAAGAACCAAAACGGTATCAAGTGAAGTTTTTCCTAATAACCCTCTTGCACAGTGAAAAGTCCCCTTTAACAAACTGAAAATTTGCTCATCCTGAACAATACTGTTTGTTTCACGGTTTGTTTTGATCCGAACTTTTCCCATGTCTTCCAGGTAGTTTTAAAAGAATGTTACTTAGTATTTTCCATTAGCTTGTGTTTGATTATTTTGTTTGTTTTCCTTCCACAGCTGCTAAGAGCAACGGCAAGTCGGTAAGTATTTACTCTTATAAAAAGTTACTGTATTGTTTGGGTAACTTTAGCATGTTCATCCTATAAACATTAAAGATACAACCACCATAACCACATATAACCACCATAAATACATAACCACCTATAAACATTAAAATAATACAATAATGAGTTATTGGCCAACACTCACACAGCAGCCTGGTAGCTTGTTAAATCCCAGCTAAGCGTTAGTGTGCTCACCACCCTGATAAAATGTCTGAAGAGCCTTTGCTGACTGAGCAGACATTGGCTGGGAGGAGAAGGGTCCCTAGAGCCCATCCTTCATGTGACTGTTGTCATCATCCACTGATTCTCCCTTAGGACTTTTAGATTGCAGTGTTAGCTCTTCCTCTTGAATCTTTGTACCATTAATGACACCAGCCTCAGCAGCCCTATCTCTGCTTTTGCTTTTCTTATCTCCCAAGGTTTCACTCTGCACGCTTTCCCCACAGCTTAGTAGCTTCTTCAGCAGCCAAAGTCAAAGCTGTGCAGCAGGGTGGTGGCTTCCCCAGGGCAGGGGAAGGTTAGAGAGCATTATAAATGTGACCTTCAGGTTACCTCTTCAGTGGCACATCCAGTGCTTCCTGGCCAATGATGATCACAACAGAAAATGTTCCAATAAAATTGTGTACGTGCGATGTATAATGCGACAGAGAACAAGAACAGTCTGGGTCATATAATATCAAGGCATAATTGCATGTTCTCTTCTTGCTTGTAGCTTCTTGACATAAGAGAAGGTGCTCTGTTACCTTGGGAAAAACCCTGTAGCTTTCTCCTGCATGCCCCCCCGATCAGCTCATAACACCCACTTATAAAAACCAGCTGTTGGGTTGTGTGATGGCAATACACTGGGGAGATTTGAGAGAACCCCAGGGTCAGAAAGATCTTAGTTGGGTTCTGTGAACTTCTGGTGCAGATGGGTCCCACCAACCTCTGGGCCAGGGCCACCCTGTCTATTTTTCTCTGTGGACGGTGACCATGAGACACCCGGATATGAGAGAAGCTTTGTTCTGCCTCAGAGGAGAACATTCTCTCTTCCCTAGTTGGACTACGCTGTATGATGCTTGCAGAAACCAGTTGTGCAGTATAGGTTACTGTTCTAGGGCCTAACCTGACAACAGGTGAAATCTTACACCCAAAAGGTTTTCTAATGGGTGCTGAGCCAAACTTTCATGGTGTGGTTCTCCATCCGTCTCCTCAGGAGCCTGAACATTTGCATGGCTTGGGGGATGCTGCACAGACAGGGCTGGGAAGCATTCCCCTGTATGAACTCTGTCCACCAAAAGCTGTGTCCAAGTTGTGGGTAGTCACCTAGAGCTCCTGCTATTTTCAGCTGAGGGAAGTAGGCACCTTCTAGTGAATTTTATCTAATTTTGGGATATATGTGGATGGTGTCTCTAAAGAGACACTTCTTTCTGCCCAGAGGATGTAATAAATCTGGAGTGACGAGTTCCTATTTAGTCCTTTAATTTTGGTTGCTTTAAAACTAAATGAGTCCCACCTGGCACTCACCTCAGTTGAAGGCAGATTCACATGGAATGCAGACTGGTTTAATTCCTAAACCCTTGCAACATAAAGACAAAGTGCCTTTTTTTTTTCCTTGTCTGTTCTTAAGTTTCATAACTGTTTTACTTCTAGCATGTTCTGAGGCTTGTTAAAAATCTCATTTCTGGAACTTGCAGGAATAAACCCATAACAAAAGGTAAAAAGAAAGGTTATGTTCAATTTGCATTCCTAGTAATTTTAATGGAAATGATACCATGTATTTATCCACTAAGAAAAGTAGATGATCAGAAATTAGATTTCCAGTTCTATTGCTCATGCCAGATCTGTACCTGATGTATGCCTCTGTCTCAATGTCACAAGCTGCATGTTGGTGACCGTGGAGATGCCTATTGCAGCAGTTGGAGGCTCAGTAAATACAGCAGTTAATACCATGCCATTTTAGATTAGTAGTAAAGTCAGTTCTATCAGCAAGTCTGAAGAAATGAAGGATTCTCCATCAAGAAGAGTATTTGTAAGCATAGGGAGCTTTCCAGGGAAAATTGTTGAATAAAATGTTTAAATTCTTATTTGTCTCAACTGGAGGTATTTAATAATTGTCCCAGGCTTCTAAATGTGTTGTGCTGTGGGGGTTTATACTTTGGGTTTGTTTTTGTTGGGTTTGGGTTTTGATTTTTTCAGAAACGTAGGGGTTTGGGTATTTTTAGGTACCAGTGAAGATTGTTCTAAGGGTTAGATGCTGAAGCCTGCAAATGTGCATAGTGCAATGCTTGAAGAGCAAATATGGCATTACTAAAGGTCTCTTGCAACAGGCGGATGAGATGTCTGTAAAGCTCTGGGGGCCAAGAGAGGAAAGTGAGAATTGGCTCTTGGCTCATGTAAATGAGCGTTGTTCCACAGAAGCCCATGTGCCCTCCTAACCCCTGAGTACTTGCCCCCACTCCCACTGAGTTTGTATTGAGCCGTGGGTCACAGTGAGAGATGTTAACCTCTCTGTTAGCTGTTGCGCAGCTCTGAGTTTACACTCTGTTTTTCGCCTCCAGCCAGGCTGCCTTGGCTACCCCTTGAGCATCTTCTTCATTGTCGTCAATGAGTTCTGCGAGCGGTTCTCCTACTATGGCATGCGAGGTATGTCCCGTGTCCTGTATCTGCTGATCATTACTTACCTAACCCTGACTTTGGTTTGTAACCTCTTGTTTTGTTGTTCTTCCTGCAGCGGTGCTTGTTCTGTATTTCAAGTATTTCCTGCAATGGGATGACAACTTGTCTACAGCCATCTACCACACATTTGTTGCTCTGTGCTACTTGACGCCAATCCTTGGAGCACTCATCGCAGACTCTTGGCTGGGAAAGTTTAAGTGAGTGCTTTCTCAGAAAACGACCAAAAATCATGAAAACATACCTGAGATCAGTGTTACTTAAGCACTTAAATCATCTAAAGCAGCAGCCCAGAACAGCTTCAGAACTGGTGTTGGCTACTCCAGGATTGTACCTGGGTTTTTTTTTTTCTTCAAAGCTTGAGGTTTTAATTGGTTCACGTCAGACCTGAAACTGTTCTGAGTTAACAACTGTTTCAGTTCTGCTAATCACTTAGGGGTAGTAGCTTGCTTTCTGAGCATGCTGCATGGTTTTCCTCTCATCTGGACAAAATTTAAGCTAAACTAAGGTAAGTATTCACTAAGCTGTGAAAATAGACACTGGTGATTATAATTCCATTGGTCTGCCTCTTAACCTGTTTCAGGTGGCCAATGAAATAAGGAAATACTGTGTTATATGGTATTAAATGGGACTTAGAATATATTCTAAAATACCCTTTTATTTCAGCATTAACTTGACAAGTCAATGGGAGGCTTTGCTGAGTTGCAAATCCTTCTTTAAATGATAAATTCTGGGGGTTTATCTGTGCTATTTGCTCAGGAAAGCACTTCTGAATGAAGTGCTTTGAAGCGTATCCACATTATTTCCAACAGCCTGATCTTGCTCTCCTTTACCGATGTCATGATTCTAATAGTGTTTACTTTGCCTAAGAAAGGCACAATAAAGATTTTTATGGAGGGATGTGAGTCAGGAATGTTAGCTGACTTGTCAAAGGTCTCCCAGAGACTAGAGATGAAATTGGATGTGCAGTAAGTCAACTGGAGGCTGCACCGTCTTCTGTGTTGACAGCCTCTGGGAGCCCAGGGCTGCAGCCACTGTCAAGAGTGCTCTCTGGAGCTGGTCTGATCAAGATGAAGTCATTGCAAGTAGCTGGCTGTCTTGCAGATTGCAGCCTAAATATATTGTGTACTCATTACTTTAGATGGTATGATTTTTTTCTTTAATCTATTTTGGCTTTTACCTGTTTTAGCAAGATGAAGCTTTGCAGACCTTGCATCCCTTCTTCTCTTGTAGTAGACTTGTGTATACTAGTGCCACAGCTGCAATCCCCTCACCATCAGAGCCTTAACAGGAGCTTGGTAGGATGGCTCAGGGTTTAAAACCAGAACGCTAAGCTTGATGAGAGAAAACCTCATGCTTTTGGAAGAACATGGCTTTAATATATAAATTCCCTAAAATACAGAAAGGTGCCATGAGGAACACTTAAGTGATAATTTGTTAAAAAAATAAAAATCTATGATGACAAG